CTGAATACCTTCTGTTCAATATTATATGTATAAGTTGCACTCGACACAATGTTGTACGACCTCCCTCGAAGCCCACTAAGCAACATCACATGACTGCCATTCCCTTCAAGACTGGAAAATTAAGATGCCAGTCTCATGAGGCTTACCTAACAAACAAAATCTGCTGTTCTTAAGATAAAATTCTTAAGAACAGCAGATTTTGCCTCTACGATTCAATGCTATAAATTGCTTTTGACTCTTAAGCCTTATGACAATTTGAAATCCAAATTTTAAAAGGAAACTTTTTTTCCAATTAAACTTTTTCAATTATCTACTTTCAAATGTAATATATCATTGATTTCATGGTCATGCCCCAGATATCCTACTCTAGTGCTTCTCAAACACTGATGTACACATGGATCACCTAGAGATTTTATTAAAATCAAATTTTGATTTGATAGAGTTGGGATAGGACCTGAGAATCTGCATTTATAGCAAGTTCCCAGGTGATGCTGAAGCGCAAGACCCTAAGCAATGCCTGGTAGATTATCCAGCATCACATAATAGTTAGCTCCTACCACATACTGAATACTATCTTCTTATGCAAATGTAAATTAACATACTGAATACTAACTTCTTATGCAAATGTAAATTAACTCTTTCAGACATGGTACTAGTTATTTGAAACTCTTCTTTATTTTTACTGTTTTCCACTGGGCATTTGGAAATCAGTCTTAAGTGAGAGTGAGAAAGTCTGGAATTTTTGTTTCTTCTTTACAAGAGATTGCTTGATTAATTTTTGTGGGGCCCTGGTTCACCTTTTAATTAGTGGTAGTCATCACAGCTGTGCACAACCAACCATTCTGGTTCCTGTCTCCTGCTGGGCTCATGGAGGGCTTGCACTTGTCCACACACTCTGCAAAATTGGCATGGTTATGTAATGTGCTTTGGTTAACAAAGTGTGAGGTCATGAGATAGGCATCACTTCCAGAAAGAAGCATCAAGAGTTAGTGCACAATTTGATAAACGCCCTTTTCCTGTGTTTGTGTTCCGGGGACCATATCTCTAGATGGAACCTCTGTCAAGCTTAGGTCCCTGAGAGACTATAATGATTAGAGGATTCCTACCCAACACACGCATACACTAGTCCAAATTTGTCTTGTAACATAAGCAAGAAATAATTAACTTAGATTTAGGGGGTATTTGTTAATGCAGTGCGGCCATCCTGACTTTATACACTCATTGAAACCACCTTTGAGAAATAATTCTTAGAAATTTCAAAAAAGTTTGACACAAGCAGTTTCCTGGTTACAGATGATTTTTGAATACATAAGAAGTTACGTATCTGAGGCGACTCGTGTTTTGAAGGGATAATCGACGTAATCAATTTATAACCATGTGATCCATCTTCT